TATTTTTCCTTCGAGAATTTCGAACGTTTTGCCGTCAAGTAGGGAGGAGAAAAAGCTACGCAATTACCAAACAACTATTGAATTCGACTATCAAAAATAGTAGTGTTATAGGACTTTGGCAATACCACCTATTGTCTAGGAAAGAGGTGGGATTAGCGCGCGTAAAACAGGAAAAATCAGCTATTTTCCTTAGACCTCTCCCTCCAAAGACGAAATACGATCTTCCATGCCCCCCACTTTCCGATTCATCTTTTGATTATCTATTGCTTGTATTTGTAATAGCTAAAGCACCAGTGATTACCCAACAGAAACTTATAATAGATTCGTACTCTTCATCCCAAATCGAAGAGGATTCATATTGGTGCCGATGAAGCTTTTCATATTGCGGAGGACGATCGTTGCCGTGCTCGCCTTGAAAAAATGGATGTGGAAAATCAGCCCAGAGCTATCGAAAAGCTGAAGCTTGCTCATATAGCCAAGTGAGTGGTACTGTTTCTGCACAGTTTTTCTGTGGTCCATTTTTCGAAGATTTTGAGGAATCCGTGTGAATTTCCAGGGTGGCCCAGCTGGCGAGGAAAGCCGGTTTCAAGGAGGTTTTTGCATGGAACGATATGTTCGATAAGTCTCTGGTGGTAGATATGCAAGAAGCTGGACTGGGAGATCTGATAACTCCGGTCGTTTGGGGTTACAAAATTGACGTCACAGAGGAGGGATATTTCCCACTGGGACTGTTTGAGAGATTGTCACAGGTGAGTTTCAGATGTTTTTGAGGGCTCTAATAACCATGGAGGGGCCAGAAAAACTTGTGCAAAAGCGTAATTAATGTCATACGGATAGAATTAGCGTATGAATGAATATGCCCACCCACCTACGCTGCTTCCCATCTTTAATCGTAGCAAGGACTGTTACCTCAATACGGTTATTCCAGTTGAGCACGAAGAGTCCTCAGTATGAACCCTCCAAGAATATTACCCCCCTTTCAGGTTATAACAAAGGCTTGTAACCTCGTGATAGGTCGGTAGTCAGGAGAACTCCGAACTTCAGTCTAATATAGGACCGCCGCTGTTCACGGCACCTCGTTTGCTGGGGAACTTCAGCGAGGTGGGGGGGGGGGTCGTATCTGGCCGCTGGAGAAATGGGGTCGTGAAATGGACCTTTGAGAAGAATATTCTCACTTGTGGCCATTTTCTCGATTTTTTTTCTGCTTTGCCGCTTTGTATGACCTATATACTGCCCTCGCGCAAGTGAGGAAGGGGGGGGGGGATGGAACCATAGGAGGAAGTTCCAGGGGAAGGGTCCTACTTCGTCAAAATTCTCTTCAACGAGATGTGCCCTGACCGCGCTTGTGATGTGCCACGTCCGATGACATGCCGAAGGTAGGAGGGGGAGGGGGTAGCCCTGGGAGTTTCGGACCGCCCTTATAGATGGGAAAACATTTTTTGCATACATTCAGTTCAACCACAGCGGAGCTCTTTTACTAGACTTAGCAGAATTCCTCACTCCAAGCACTAGATGTCGTTCAGCATGGAAAATTTAGAAGTGGCATCGAGAGGAGAGTTTCGTGAAGCGCGATTTCATCGTCGTAGTCCAGAAGCTCAACAGTGAAGGAGAAAGTCAAACCGATTGTCCAAAGGGGCGCTAAAT